GCATTGTCTATTAAAAATTAGGTCAATTAGCTGCCAAATTCCTTATCGATGTCCTTATTACTTTCGTCCGACTCTAAAAATCCTTCGCATTCTGTTAAAAATATTAAAAATTTTTTAAGCGTAAACAAAATATTATAAATTATTTTATGCAAATTAAAATATTAATTTTTTGCACAAGCTTGTTTTTAAAATATATATTTAAATAACTAGCAGCTTTTTTTGCTGCATACAAAACATCTTTTTTTTATACAATACTCTTAGTTAATTTTTTTTTGTAACTAGCTTAAAAATCTAAGTCGAAACCTAAATCGTTAGCCTTTTATACAGCTGCTTTAATTATACCTTTTGTCAATAAAATAGCTATTGTTATCTTGTTGTACAAAATGCTTCGATAAATTATCCGCTGCTACCTAAATGCATGCTCTAAAGTCAAAAAAAAAACCTTTGCACATTAGTTTTTAAAATATAAATGCTATAGCTAGTTCTAATACTTTTTAACATACTCATGCAACTGTTATACTTAGTTAGATTTCCCCTTAATAACTTGCGCCAAGCGCGCGTTATGCTTTTGCAAGCTTATTAATCATAAGGTCTAATACTTTGTGCAGTACTAAATTAAAATTCTTTTCTTTTATTCGTACAAAAGTAATTATAATTTAATCAGCTTAATATTAGCTATAATTTATATTAATATTAAAATAATTATCTATTGCACAATAGATTTTGCTCTAAGTTTTATTTAGGCTAATATAATAAGTAAAAAAGTTCTTTGCGCAACTTTTTAAAATAGTTAGAAATATTGCGTAATATTAATTCTCTATAATTCTAAGTTAGCAGCAGGTATTTACAAATAAACGTATTTTATTGTACAACAAATTATATAGCTAACCTAAATAATTTCTTTCTTTTTTTTAAGTCCTTTAGAAAATTGCGTACTTTTTAAGTAGAATTATTTCGTTTTATACATTTTTTGTAAAAAGTAAGTCTACTAAAAAGCTATTTAGTGCAGGGTTTAATATTATGCAAAAATATGTTTGTTGTTTTAAAGTTTGTTAAAAATAATAAATAACAAGGTATTTATATACTGGCTAAAAGTTCGGTTTGTATTTTGCTTTTGTTGTACGTTTATATATTAGTTTAAAAATATTTTGGTTTTCGATTGTTAATTGTACGTAGTTTTAAGCAAAGTAGTTTTTAAAAGTATAAAGGTGTACATTTTAAGTTAGCTCTGGTTATATAGTTCCAGTTTGTACGGTTGTATTTAAAGTTGAAGTTTTTTGCAACGTTGTGCAAAGTTGCTAACTTAGCGTAAAAAAAACTAATAATGCTTGTACAGCAGCTAACAAATTGTTTTAAGTAATTAAAAGTTCCGGCTAGTTTTTTGTTAAATCGTATTTGCTTTGTGCGATTTGTATAAAACTTTTAGTTTAGTTTAACTTTTCTGATTTTGGTTGTACGCTTTTAGCTTTAAGTATTCGAAGTAGTTCTTTGCGTAGCGTACAATAAGTTTAAAAAAAGTAGTCTGTTGTTTAGTTTTCGAAATCTTTTGCATACGTCTTTTAGAATTTTTGTTAAACGTTTTTTAAGTACTAGTATTTAATAATTTAAAACGCTATTTATATGTTTAGCAATTTTAAAGTTGTACAACTTAAATCAACGCTTTTTCTTTAGTATTTAAAGTTAAAATAGTTTTGTACGTTTTTAAAACTAAGCCTAAGGTTTTTAGCAATCTTTTTATACGTGAAATTAACTAAGGTTTGCAATATAACAAGTTTTGCTGCATTATGCAAAGTATTTAATGCCATATTTATAAGTAAAACTAAGTAAACAGGTTGTTGTTTTTGCTATCGTACAACAAGTTGTCAAATATAATTGCATACTATTTTTTCTGTTGTAATATAAATGTACCTAGTTTTATTAGAAAAATAACATTCGTATAACAATAAAATCGATCTCTTTGTTTTTTTAACGTACAAGTACACTTAGTCTGGTTAAAAAAGTAATACTTGTGCAACAAAAAAATTAAAGTACGATACAAAAACCTAGTTAAGCCATAAGTGCCTCCGTCTTCACTTTTGCTAATCTGTAGTGCTTTTGCAGTCGTGTGAAAAATGCTTCTGCAACTACTAATCAGTATTAAATAAGCTTTATACAATATTGTACAATAAACATACGCGTAAAATAAAATATAATCTATTATATTATATTCATTTATATCTTTTTATTAAAAAAGAAAGCTTTATACAAAGTAGAGTTTTTACCTTAGGTAAAAACTTCTGCTAGCGTACAAGCTAATACGATAAAAGGAATTAGGTGCGCACGTACTAATAACTTCGTACGTAACAATAACTTTGTACGTGCCTACACATACGGTTGCAACCAACACCAGTTATTCCAACATTTAACAATATTTTAAATATTTTCTGTTTTGCATATATAAATAATATACTTGTGTTTTTAATAAACACGAAGTTTTATATAAAACATGTATAAAACGTTATTTAAAAACTACAAAAAGCAAAACTATATGCTAAACCTTTTAAGTACTAGTTTTATTAAAAAAAACTTAACTTTTTAAAATATGTTATATTTAGCAAAAAAGTTAAAATAAATTTTAGCTATGTTAACACTATTTAAGACTAGCTACTTTTTTGTTTTTATTATAAGTTATAGCAACTTTTAAGGTTTTGCAACTTTTATTGCTGCTTTATTAAAAAGTATTTTTAAGTTATAGCTCTATTAACTAAATATTTAAAAAAAAGCGCAACTAAAACAAAAAAAGGTTAAATCTTATTAAATAATTTAGCGTGTACAGCTTTTAATAAGCTGAAAAACTTATTTAAAAAAGCCATTCTTTTTATACATTTTAATTTTAAAAAACAAATATTAATAAAAACCAATTTTTTTAAAGTAGCGCTAGCAAAAACATTATTATAAAAAAACAATTAAAAACAGTAGCAACTTGTTTTGTTTTACTTTTGCATGTTTAACAATACGGAAACAAAATATAATGTTTTTAATTAAAAAATGCTTGCTATTATAAAATGCTTTAAGCATTAACAGCACTATGCTAATTTACAAGCTTTTATAAAAACGCCTAAATTAAATAGCAAACAAGCCCGATAGTATATATATTTAGCTTTTTTTAACTTTATTATTAAATATAAAAAAAGCAAACAAAATAAGGCCGATACACCTTTACGCCGCCTTAATTATATAGCTTATAGGGCCTAAAATGCTAATTTACTTCCTTTGTTAAAACAGAAAATTAAAGTAGTTAATACCAAAATAAAAAACTATATCTTTAAAACTCTTGCAAAAAAAATCTTTGCTACTAAATTAGCTATAGAACGTATTATTTTTGTACAAACAGTTATACGTTACTGCGCGCGTATAATTGTAAGTAATAAAAACTTTTAAAACCTAAAAATCTAACAAAGTTTATAAGACCTAATCCTCTAGATCCAAAAAAAAGATCTTAAGTATTGTTAGCTACATAAGCAACTTTAAAGTAAACAGCTTGTAAAGCTTTAATAGTTTATTAAAAAAATTTTATTGCAATATAAAAGCAAAGCCTACATTCTTTTTAAAAAATCAGTCCATTTCTAGCTTATTAAGCTGTACTATAATAATTTTATAGCCAAACACTTCGGTTAAAATTGTACATTAAAACTATTATAATAAAAGTTTTACTAGCAAACCATAAAAGCAGATGTTTGCAACTATATAACTAAATGTACTATCTATTTCAAATCTAAAGCAAAACACTACCAAAAATATAATGCTTTAAATGCCCTTTTAATACTTATTAGCCTTATAAAAAAACTATTTATAAACTTTATTACTAAGTTATTTAAAACATTTTATTGTAAAACTATTATTAATACAATATTTATAATAGTTAACCAATTTACCAAACTTATGCATTTATTTCCTGTTAACACTATTATTACTGCCACCTAGCTAGCAGTTTTATTTTACAAAGAAATAAAATGTTGCTTTAAAGCTTTTACAAATATAGTTTTTAACAAAAATCCTGTTTTTACTAGTTAGTTTTAGTTAGATTTATGCTACTACTTTAAAATTAAAAAAAGATTTTTAATTGCGTTTTATCCCCGGACTAATAGCTAAACCGAAAAAATAAACCAAATTATAAAAAGCTATCTCTAATGCTTTGTTAATAATAAACAGACTAATTAGCTTTAGCTATTGCCGCAAGCTTTTTTCGCAATAAATGTAGCTACTAATAGCACTACTAAAAAGTTACCTTTTAAAGCATTATATAAATATATTCTAAAATTCAAACCTTTTGTTAAAAACAATTTTATTTTAAAAAAAGTATTATTAGTATAAAACCGGCTATACAAATTAAAAACTATTTGCAACAAATTAACAAATTAATAGCGCAATATAATTAAAAAATATACGAAAAACTATAACGCTAAACATACCTTTAAAAGTTTTTGTACTAAAAAATTGATAGCTTTATTAACTTAGAACCTTAAATTCCAAAATTGCAAGTTAGCTTTTAAGTTTATTAAATCTTTTAAGATTTTAAAAACGGTTAGATTATAGGCGTATTGCCTAATACTTTTATATTAATATAGTTAAATTTATAACGTATTTTTTATATAATTATTAAAACTTTAAACAGCTAAAACCTTAAACACTTTACTAATGCCCGCATTAAAAAATGCTAAAAACGAATAAAAAGTAAAAAATATAATAAAAAAAATAATATACCAAAATAAACTGTATTATAAGGTTAAATAAAAAGGCTAGCCAAGTAAATACAATTAGTAAATATTAGCTATTAATATTACTGCTTTTACACTTATTAAAAAATTTAAAAAACAATAAAGTTATAAAAGAAAATATTAAAAATTAAAGCTACTTAAGCTAGCGTTTTTAGCACAAAAAAACTTTGAGGCCAAGTTAATTAATTTTTAACAAACTTTTTAAAACATTAGTTTTAAAAAACGCTAGCAAAACCCGAAATTTTAGCATAGTAAGAATCGAACTTACTACTTTAAACTTTAAAAATGTCTACGCTTTACCAATAAGCTATACGTTAACTAAACCTAACCTTACTTAGTATTAAATTCGAATATATTATTATGTTCTAACTTATTATTACAAGCATTTTAAAACGCGTTATTAATGTTAGTTTTAATAAAATTTTTAACTTTTTTAGCAAATTGTTTTACTGCTAAATATTAAGCAATATAACTAGTGTTTAAAAGCTAAAAACGCAACATAGTTGTTTAACAATATTAAGTGCGCTACTTTATAGTTTAAGCAAGTTAGCTTTAAGTATAAAACAAAAACTATAATAACTATTAATAGCGCTAGCAGCAATAAAAAAAATAAACAAACGTATTAAACAGCGTTATTTAGCTACATATGCTTTATAAGCTAAATAATACTTTTAATTATATTTAAGTTAACAAAATAAAATAAATAAAATAAAAAAAAATATAGCTACTTTACTATTTTCAATTTTGCTAATCATATTATACGCAGCCTAGTAAACCATAAAAAAATAATAAAAACTTTAAAAAAGCTAAAATTAAGCGGCCGCAATTTTTTTGCAATAAGCTTTTAAACTTGCTTAAAAAACATTAGCATCTACATTAGTTTTAACTAACAAAGCAAAGTTATTATTGTTAGCGTAACAAGCTTAAAACATATATTTACTTTATTTAAAAAGCTTTAATATTTAAACAGCTTTAAATTGCGTTATAAAAAAAATTTAAATTATAAGCAGCAATTTGCATAAAAAAATAATATAAAATAACTTATAGCTTAACAAGTTTTATAGCCTTTGCTGCAGCTAGTACAAAAAAACAAAGTTGTTTTTTTGTATACATATAAAACCTTTAAAAGCAGGCCAGCCTAAAGCTAAAACGCATGCGTAGCAACGCCTTAACATTAACAACATATAAAAAAACTAATTACGTAAAAAAGCTTTTTACAACAGCTAAACTTACGCTAACGCGCTTAGCAAATCTAATAGCGCTAACAACAAAAAAGCATAATAACAAAATAATAAATAATAAAAGCAGTAATTTAAATAAAGAAAATAAATAAATAAAGCTTAAAAATAATTAAAATAAGAAAATAATTGGCAGCAACTGTAGCTAAAACCAATAGAAAATGCTAGCGGCAACTAAAAAAAAAAAAAGAAAAAAAAGAAAAAAAAAAAAAAATATAACAGGCTATATACTTTGTTTTCAAATCAGCCTGCTAAGTAATTTGTATTTAGGGCAACGCGTTATTGCAGGCCTAAGTATTTAAAAATTACCCAAAATGCGCAAAATTTTTTTATTAGCCGGAAATTCCTATTGTTTACACCACTTTTTTTATTGTTTACACCTATTTTTTACTAATTTTAATTAATTTCTAGCTTTTAAATTTATATTACACTTTATTATAATTCTATTCCTAATTATATTAGCACTACTTATAACAACACTTAACCTTATACTTAGGTTAAAACAACTTATTACAAAAAAGAAAAATAATTATTATAATTTAGGTGCACTACTAACTAAACTATTAATTAAAGTATGTTTTTTTTAATTCTGTTTGCTTATATTACTATAATTTATTTAAGTGTGCTTTGCACACTATTTTTTGCTTTTACAAGCTTTAGTTTTGTATGAGACCTATTATACGGAATATATATTATATTGTACCTAACCTCGAGAGACTTCCCAAACGTGACATTTTCCGCTTCCAATGACACTCCCAAACTCGCCCAAAATCATAAAAAAAGTTAAGAATATAAAAAAAAAAGTGAACCAATTAAAGTTAATTTCAAAATTGATATTCCAACAGATTTAGTAGTAGCGCAAAGTAGTTTATAGCTCGGTAAATTAGCAGATACATATTTTATTTAGTTACTAAAATTTCTTGTATTAGCAGACTAAACAAGTTATTATTTTAACTAAATCTTGCTAATATATTTTAACTATTTATAAATATACTTTATAATTTAGGTTTAACCACTTAGCTTAAAAATAATAGTAGATTAACATTATAGTTAGATAAATGCTATATATTGTAGGTTTTTAAGGTTGTATAATCGTTTGACTAAACATATGCAGCCTGTTACATCGTTAAAGAAAAGGCATTACTGGTATAATCTAGTTTAATATATAAACCGTTTATTATGTTGTCGGAATTTGCGTAGGCTTGCATAGTCGTTATAATTAATAATAAAAATAATGTATTTTTCTGCGGATCCTGTTTGCCACAGCTATTTAAAATAGCATAATATGCTAGTTTAAGCTTTTACGATCTAGATTAATCTAACTTTATCTGCGCAACGTCTTATGTTTTTTTTAAAGTGTTTTGTTTTTATAACAATTAAAATTTTAAAAAGGCAATGTTTAGCTTTTCATTAACACGTTTGCTTAATTTGTTATATTTGTTCTGTATATACTTTTTGTTAACTTTGTTATTAAAAAATCGGTAGCGATTGATATAACGGACTTATTCGCTTAGTGTTTAAGACTTAAAAAGATAGCAAATCGGATATAAGCGCATATATTTAATATTTTGGTAAAGTAAGTCAAAAGCGTATTACATATGGAAAAGGCAAAATCTTACAAGTTCTGTAGTGATCCTGCAATCTAGCTAATTTCTAAACAGGTTTGGTTTTATAGTTTTTGTAAAAACAGTAATAGCTTTCTCAATTCTTGTGCTTAGCTAGCGGATTACTTTGATAGGTGCTTCCTGGGGTCTGAGTAGAATGTATGTGTATTAAGTATGAGATGTAGAAGAAAGGAAAAGCCAAGACTCTAGGTCTTGGAAAGAGATCTAATTATAGACATGTGTGCCAACTGCCTGGCAGCCGCCAGGCTGTCACAATGGCACACGCGCCGCAGCGCGTGGGGATACACCCCCTATGGGGTCGTATCATACTTGTTTTTTTTACAGCATTTGTAGTAGCTTTTGTCACGATCGTGTAGAATGCCTTACAACATTGTATTGATGCTATAGACTAAGATTCTAAGCTGAAGAAAAAGAAAGGAAAAGGGACAGCGAAGCTTGCGATCTCTCAGAATTGGATATAGTACAATTACCGCTTTGTGGGTTGTGGTCCGTGCGTTCCTTATCGATATAACAGTCTGGTGGTGGTCCATGCGTCACACTTAGTAAAAAAGCATTTGGTAGCTACTTTAGAAATCGATGGCTGCTGTTTTAAGGACTAGGTGTTTTAAATAATAAATATAGGTCACAAGGTTATAATTGGCATAAATTGGCTTGCTAAGCATAACTTTTTTTTAGATTGCAAAAGATAACGCTTAGTATGGCTTAAAGATCAACTTGTATTAGCAAAGTATTTTTTAGCTATCCAAATTCAACCATTAAGCAAAGCTAAACGCTAAATTGATTTTAGCGTTTAATAAGACGCAAACTGGCAAGATCAGGCTTTAAAGAAAAAGTACCGCATACTTTAAAGAGCAAAAAAAAAAAAAGTTAGCTGCTATTATAATAAGCGTAAAAAAAATAAAAAACTGGGCTATAATCTAAGAAATTATAAAGCAGGTTAAAAATAATCTAAACTGTTAACGATGGGCTAAGCTGGCGCTAAAGATGCCAACTAAACTAATACTTATCAAGTTTATAAGATTACTTGAAAACGAAAAAACTATAAACATAAAAGCGGTTAAGCTTTAGAAAACGTACAATAAAAAGCGTATACTGTTTTTTACGGACAAGGATCTTAAGCACGTAGCTTTAGTTCGACGTTTTCTTTTAAAACTACTAGCACACCTAAAAGGTTTTTTTTCGAAAAAAAAAGCAGATATTCTGCTCCTATTACAACTAGAACACGATATAGTTTTTGAACTTAATAAAAAAGTACAAAACAGTAAGCCTTTAAAATACCGAACTTCAATCCAGTATCTACTTTTAAAAAAAGAAATAGTAAACTAGCTGCTAAAAATAAACTTTATTGAACTGGCTATAGAAGTGGACGCAGCGCTAATTTTATTCGCCTTTAAGCCGCATTTGCAGAAGCAAAGGTTTTGTATTGATTACTGCTAGCAAAATTAATACCTAAAAAACAAAGTAGTTCCAGCTTCGGATTTGAACAGTACTATTTATAACTGCTAAAATGCAAAACAATATTTCAAACTTAACGTTATTAAAGCTTTTTATCGGCTACGCATATCGATTAACTTCTGATATTTTACAGCTTTTTGCACTCGATAAAAAATCTTTTAGTAAAAAGTTTTCCTTTTTGGCTTTAAAGTAAGCCCAGCTTGGTAGCAATCTTTTATTAATACTTAACTATAAGAACTGTTAAACAAATTTGTTAGTGCGTATGCTAATAATATATTAGTATACTTAAGACCAGAAAAAGAGCATTAAAAGCAATGCAAAAAAGTTATTTATTGTTTGCATAAAGTCCAATTATAAAAAAATATTAAGAAATCCTGATTTAACGTTATTACAATAGATTACTTAAGCGTTATTATAAAAGCTAGGGTCGGTATTTGGATTAACTTAGCAAAAATCAAAGCTATTATAAACTAGAAGTTTGAAAACTTTAACAGAGTTAAAGCAGTCCAGTCTTTTTTAAAACTATGTAACTTTATTTGCATGTTTATCCATTACGCTAGCGATATTGTAAAACTATTAAACTAGTTATTTAAAAAAAACGCTCTGTTTAAAAAAGGCCTAAAACAAAAGAACGCTTTTAAAGCTATAAAGCAATTAGCATGCTAAGCACTAGTACTAGTATTTTTTTGCTTAAAGCAACTTACCTAAGTGGAAACTAACGCATTAAAAAACGCTACTAGCGGAGTTATTTAGCAGCAGCAAGAAAACAAGAAATAAAAGCTTGTAAAATATTTTTTTAAAACGATAACCGCACCAGAAAAAGCTTACCCTATACAGGACAAAAAGATGTTAGCTGTAGTATAAACCCTGAAGCATTATTGCCCAGAGCTTTTAGGACAGAAATTCTTCGTTGTTACTAATTACTAAGCCTTCTTATACTTTTTAACCAAACGTGTGCTTTTAACACGCCAAGTCCGGTAGGCTGACTTCTTAACAAAT